TTTTTTTTTTTTTTTTGTGTGTGTTTTGAATGTCCAGAGGACCAGACTTAACTTTTTTAGATTAATAAGTAATACATTTATGTTTTTTAATTTAATGAAAGACAAATCTTTAAAATTTAAGGACAAAATTTAACCATATTGTTTTCAAGTCTGTAGCTTATTGTAAAAACAGTTTCAAAGATTACAGCACAGTGTGATGTTTTGCAATTTTAACATGAACCTTGTGCATATCTGAAACAAGATGGATTTCCAAGAAGGCGCCGGTGTGTAGGGCTGCCTGTCTCTCGCTCTCTGCTTGTATTTTATTTTTGTTATTTTTACAATGGTTTGTGCAGTGTGCCGAGTCATATTTTCAGTATGATCGTCGGGCACTTTTGGAGCTCCGTACATTTGCTGAAATTCCCGCAGAGTTTTTGAACAGCGGCCAGCACTCTCCCCCACCGGTCCTATCTGAGATTCCTGCGTTCCTTCTGCGTGACCCTGGCCTTTCTCCATGGAGGAAACGTCGCAGACGTCGTGGGAAGCGTGCAGGGATTTTGGTGAAACTGAGGCAAAGTGTGGATTATTCTTTCAGGACTCGCTCTGGATCTGATCATCTCCTCTCTGACCCGTGGTGCTCCCGGGGCCCGGCTGCTGGCCAGCTGCCCGCGTGTTCAGTCCATGGAAACACCTGGAGTTGTTCACCTGTGCGCCGCACCAGCAGACCAGGAGGAGCCGTTCTTCATAACCTGCGCCCGCTGGCGCGCGCGTCTCCTTCCATGGCTGTGCCTGTGTTGGACAATATCAGGATGTGTTTAATCAACGCAAGGTCTGTTTCCAACAAGACGTTTATCCTCAATGACTTTTTTAAAGATGAGGAGTTGGATTTTCTGTTCGTCACAGAATCTTGGATTTCTGATGGTGAGTCCAGCGCCCTGGTGGAATTACTACCACTGGACTGTCTGTGTTTCAATGCCCCGCGGCCATCAGGTCGGCGCGGGGGGGGGATTATTAACAGTTTTTAAAGCAAACTTTGCCAGTAAACAGTTGTCCATCCCGGTGTCCCGCGCCAGCTTCGAGCTGAGCGCCTTTGAACTTGGACACTCTCCTCCGGTCCTGTGTGCGCTCATCTACCGCCCACCTCGTTCTAAGGACTTCATAAATGAATTCTCTGACTTTTTGGCTGATATCACACAGAGATACACTCACTTTTTGTTTATTGGTGACTTTAATTTGCATGTGTGTTGTCAGGAGAAGCTCTTAGTGAAGGACTTTCTAGATTTATTGGACTCTTTTAATTTAGCTCAGCAGGTGAGCGGCCCCACCCAAGAACATGGTCACACGCTGGACCTCGTTTTAACACGCGATGTCTCTGTTTCTAATTTGAAAATCGGTGACAATGTTTTTTCAGATCACATGCCTGTATT